CGGCCGGCCGAGGTTCTAGGAAGGAGCTCTCGGTCTCAGCGGCACAACAGCTCTGGTGACGGCGTGAAAGAAAGCACGCTCGTTGCTTTGAACCTTTACGGTCGCTCTAACAAATGAAGGACCGTAGAGCGCATAGTTCTACCCGAGAGTACCCGTAGTTTACGCATAGTAGTACCCGAGATAGGACTCTCGTGGGCCTTACTTGGCGGCCGCCCGGCTGGCTGGGCCAGCCCGCCACACAGCCACGCCCACGGGCTGCCTACCCGCCAGGCGCTCGGCCCGCGACTGTCGCGGCCGGCTGCAGCTGCAGAAAGCGTGGAGTCGGTCTACAGAGGCCGTCTGCACCAAGGCGAAGGTGTTACAGTCACACAACACCTCCACCCTGGGTGCTCCAACGGGCAGGCCGCCCCACCCAAAGTGACTTCCGTTGGGGCCGACTGACACATTAGCGGCTTCATCTAGGCTTCAGAGCATTACTCTGAAGATCTAGGCAATCAGGGGATATATATTTAAAAGAAATGTACACCTTTACAGTATTACTCCCTTTACTTTTGAGAATCACAAAGTTAAACATTAGAACCACCCGGAAAAAGTAGTTTCCAAAATGGGCATTAATTCTTTAGATCATATGTACAAAAGGATAAATTCAAGACGGTATGCATAACGAACGACATGGTAAACGTTTGCTAGCCATTACAGGCACTATTACGTTAAAAAAGCAGGTTAGAAGTTCACTTTACGCAGCCACCCCTAGAGCACAGATATGTAACACGTTTCGCAGACCACTTGGACGTGAGAGGGCAAGTAGCTGCCGATGGTCCGACACTGCAGCAGGCAGCCCGCGAGCTGCTCTGTGCACGGGTCGTCTGGTGGACGTTCAAGGATGAGCCGCCGCAGTGCGTGAAGACCGCATGCCACCAGCTCCTCGGCGAGATCGGGGAAGTAGAATGCTGCATTTTCATAATCCTTACTGACGCTGCAGTATATCTGGAGCTCCTGGACTGAGGAGGCGTAGGCGCGGATCAGCGACATCATGGTGTTCTTGTGGTTTGTATTGAAGCCAACTTCAAGCCACTGCAGGGCCCCATGCTGCGAGGGAGCGAAGTTCATATTCGGACAAAGGTAATTAACCACCCGCAGGCTACGCAGCCGGGGCATCCGCTCCACACACCGCAACTGGTTTTCTCTTGGATACCGTATCGCGAGCTCCTCGAGCTGCAAGGGAAGGTCCGGGTAGTCCAAGTCTTTAACGCATCTTACGTCCAGTCTTTTGAGTGACTTCATTTTCTCCACCTCTACCAACACGCTCGGCTGCACCGGCTTCCCGATTTGCAGCTCCTCTAGGTGCGGAGCAACGACGCTCAGCAGCCCCTCCAGACCAGCAGCGCCGTGTAAGCTCTTGAGGCTGCGTGTGTACCTTCATCGTTGTCTGTTTTGAAGAATGTCATTTATCTTAAAACGGCCATCTTTTAAATCGTCTTGAGTTGTCTCCAGAACAGAGATGATTGGCGGCCCCACGTAAACTCCAGGTTGGTCAGAACAAGCGGCGACGTCGACCTGGAGAAGAGAGAGAGAGAGAGAGAGAGAGAGAGAGAGAGAGAGAGAGAGAGAGAGAGAGAGAGGATATAAGCATCAAACCCGACAAACCGAGGAGATCAACGCTGACTAGTGGCCTACCGTCTGCAGCTGGCCGTCCGCCCGCAACTGCAGCAAGTGAAGCCTCAGGATGTCGCCGAACCCTCCGAGCTGCGCGCAGGCCCTCCAGGTGGCGCCGTCCTCCTCCTCCGCCACGACGCTGCACCTCTTGGCCGTGAGCAGGCGCAGGCTGTCCTCCAGCTGCACCGCCAGCTGCAGTTGCTCCGCCACCGGGGCGCTGCCCTCACCGCCCGCCGCCCCCCGCTGCACCTGCTGCTCCAGGGCCTCCTCCACCTGGTGGAGCTGGGCGACCGACGAGTCCAGCTGCCGGTTGAGGGCCTCCACCGCCTTGGGCACCACCAGGCGCAGCACCTCCACCGCCTTCCGCCCTGCCTCCACGCCCCGCCGCAGCTGCTGGACCCCTGTCTCCTCTGTCCTGGGCTTCTTGCGAGGAGGCGCGCCGTCGTGTTCTATCAGGCGGATCAAAGCGATGGTGTCGGGGAGGTCAGCAGGATCGGCGTTCAGGTCCTGTATACATACAATATGGCTGATAAGTTTTCCTTCAGAAAATTCTTTTTCATCCAAACTGCCAAACTAGTTAAATGAGATCAGTGTTTCGTTTATTTATAGATAATTTTGTGGGAAGTTCACAATTTTAACACTAACAAACTGTGCGCATCCTTCCAATTCAAGTTAAGTTTGTAATTGACTGGTAGTAAAGTTTTGTTCATTTGAGATAACAGTAACATAGATTCACAGAATTAAATGTTTTGGAAATAATTTGCTTATGAAGTTCCTTATAAGCGGACTTCTCTATCTAACCGTTTTCTTTCTATTGATTTTTCCCTGAGCCAAGGAGATCAAAACACCTTACATCAAACTATCCATACAGACAAAAGTAAAGAACATATGATAAAGTCCCCTACCAATAGAGATTGGTCACAAAACGTCAAATGATGAAAATTCGCATCACTATGACAGATTTTTGGACCCCAAACCTTCATTTTCACATCACTAATACGTCAATCTGACGTTTTGTGACGAATCTTTGTTGGTAGGGTAAATAGGATGTGATATTGTAGCAGATTCACAAACTTTTTACTCACCTTCCTACAAGTTGGACACTTTCCTCCCAAGCCAGGATTCTGCACGCATTCTTGACAAATGGTGTGTCCACAGATCAAGCTCTTTGGACGGTGAAGGTCCAGGTCAAATAGGTTAAAGCAAATGTCACACAGTAGTTCCATCACTGAAAAAAAGGAGAAGGATTGGCACACTTTGAGAAAATATGTTGCCTGAATCAACATACCTTACAAAACCACAATCCTATGAGTTTTGTATGATTGGAATTTAAGAGTACATAATGAAAATTCACTGGGTCAGTAGCTCCAACAGTCACAATATGTTAAAACGTTTATGAATAGAAAAGCTAGACAACAGTAAGGAATTCAGTATCCAAAACAATGTACCTGTTCCGTTGCTGTCGACCTTCTTAACTTTTAAAAATGTAGTTATCTGGCAGGTGGCCAGAACGAGAGGAGTTGAACACTTCTGCGACAGGTCATACAAAATCTTCCCAGGAGCAAGAACAGGGACAGGGGAAAGTATGCAACCTGTTTTTGTAACCCCAATGGCAGCACAAAAGTCTAAAATTGGTTGACGATTCTGCAAGCAGGACAGGTTATGATCGGGTCCACAACACACCGGCTGTCGGCTGCTTGCCGCTTTGTTTTCATTGGCCGGCGGCCGGCCGCACAAGGCGGTGGGCGCGGCGCGCGTAAATACGAACGCGGTGGGCCTCCATGCCGGTCCGGTCCGTCGCCGAGCCTCGCGAGGGTCTGGTCGTCTGATCGCGATGGTCAAAATGCCGACAATCACTACTCATGTCAGCCGGGGACGGAGGCTCACTCACTAGCCCATTCGTCGTCACGGAGGCTGGGTGCCAATGCAGGACGGCCCCGTAAACTACAGATTGTTGTAGTTGTAGTTTTACTTCAGCCATGCCTTAGTGCATGCGGATGTGGGTGACCGGCCTGCCTCCTCGTAAAAAGTCTTCTTGTAGGAGACGGTATGCAAACCCGCATTGGGTTAATATTGGGCCAGAGTTAATCTGAGCGCCTGCCGGCTGCGCACCGTGGGGCGCCCACCCGACTGGCGTTAGCGACGGCTGGAGGAGGAAAACATGCTTATTGCGCTGAACATTTACTATCGCTATGACTTGTGAATGCCTGTATAAGGTCAACGAAAAGTTGTACCCAAGAGAAAAAACTCTGATTCAAGTGGACTCTCCTGGCGACCGCAGCGCCCCGCGGCCGCCGCCGGGCTGGCTGGGCCGGCCCGCTACACAGCGCCGCCCGCGGGCTGCCCACCTGCTAGGCGCTCGGCCCGCGGCTGTCCCAGACCGGCCGGCTGCAGCTGCAGGTGTGCGGAGCCTGGAGTCGGTCTACAGGGGCCGGCTGCACCCTGGCGAAGGACGGTCAAGCACAGCACCTCCACCCTGGAGGCTCAAACGCCCAGGCTGCCCCACTTAAAGGGGCTCCCGTGGGGCCGACCCATAAATAAACGACTGCTTCGTGGCGATCAGGCTATATATTGAGAAAAAAATTACACCTTAACAGTAGTATAGCACATTTTATTTTCCATAAAGCACAAGTGAAATTAACAAACACTGTAAAAACAACTTTTCAAAATATGCATTAGGATTAGAGCATTGATACAAATAGTATGTACACGACGGTGTAGCACAGGACAGGGATACGTTAGCTAGCCCTTGCAAACGCCATCATGTAGTTCACGTTTCAGACGCAGGTTTCAAGAACAATTCAGGCATCCCCCCTAGGATGCAGGCACGTTACAACAATTGCTGCAGACCACATGGACTTGAGGGGGCAAGGAGTTTCCGATGGACCGACACTGCAGCAGGCACCCCGCGAGCTGCTCGGTGCACGGGTCGTTTGGTGGACGTACAAGGACGAGCCGCCGCAGTGCGTGAAGACCGCACGTTCCCAGCTCCACGCCGAGATCGGGAAAGTAGCATGCTGAATTCAGATAATTCTCACTGACGCTACAGAGTATGTGGAGCTCCTGCACTGATGAGGCGGAGGCGCGGATCAGCGACATCATGGTGTTCTTGCGAGTAACGGCGAAGCACAAGCTAAGCCACCGTAGGGCCCCATGCTGCGAGGGAGCTAAGTTCATTTCCGGACGAACGTGATTTATCACCTGCAGGCTGCGCAGCCGGGCCATCCGCTCCACACACCGCAACTGGTTTTCTGTTGGACACCATATCCCGAGCTCCTCGAGCTGCAAGGGCAGGTCCGGGTAGTCCAAGTCATCACCGCATCTTACCTCCAGTCTTTTGAGGGACTTCATTTTCTCCACCTCCACCATCACGCTCGGCTGCACATCGTCCTCGATCTGCAGCTCCTCCAGGTGCGGAGCAACGACGCGCAGCAGCCCCTCCAGACCAGCAGCGCCGTGTGAGATCTTGAGGCTGCGTGTGTACCGCCACCGTGTCTGGTCTTGAAGAACGTCATTTATCTTTAAACGGCCATCTTTAAAATCTTTTTCAGTTGTCTTTAGGACAGAGATGATTGGCGGCCCCACGTAAACTCCTGGTTCGTCAGACCAAGCGGCGACGTCGACCTGGCCAAGGGAGAGCGGATATGAGCAACATCAGTAACAAACCCAACACACCGAGGAGATCAACATTTAGTCCGTCTGCCTGGTAACCAACCTTCTCCAGCTGGCCGTCCGCCCGCAGCTGCAGCA